ATGCTTACAAGGACTTCAGGTCAACCCGACATACGCTGCAGTCGCCAACGCCGAACCCACCGGACAAAACACCTGGTTCTTGGATAGCTGCTGCGGTCAACACATGTGTTCCTCCGGGCGCTTCGTGCAATGAGAGCGACGCCTCAACCGCGATGTCATCCTTACCGTCGCCAACAATGAGAACCTGAAAACAAACAGACAAGGAGTGGTTCAGTTACAGTCCATGGAAACAAACGTTATACTGCAACTCAACAAAGTTCTCATCGTCGACAATCTGGGATACAACTTACTCAGCGTCAGCCAGTTAATGGCAAAAGGGATTCACCTGGAGTGCGACTCAGACTCCAACGAATTTCGCCTTTACCACGGGAAGGGCGGTCTCTTCATCGGTCAAGCTCTCTTGAAGTCAGGCATCTTCGTGTTGGACTTCGTTCCCGACCGCGGTACTGCCGACAGTGATGCCATCGTGTCGTTCGCAGCCTCGACGCACCCGCCAGATCTTGACCTCGACTTCACCCCAGATGGATTCTGGTGTTCCAACACCATACCTGCAGCAGAAAGAACACGAGCGTTAGCAGTCATCAGACAAGAAAGACAAGTACCAACAAGAGTCCCTTCCCAACCATCACCTGCAGTAGCAGCAGCAGGACCCAGCCGAGTACCACCACCAACGATCCGAGGACCACCAACCGAAGCAGATCAATTTATGCCCATCACACGAGAAGTCTGCCGAAGTCCCGCCACGGTCGTCGCGTTCTTCTCCAACACCGACATATACCAACGCTCGCCCGGCCATCGCGCCTCCGACGACATCTGGCACCAACGCCTTGGGCATCCTGCAAACAGCACGGTACTACAAACCATCCAAGCCGACATGTTAGAACGGAACGCTCTTCTTACAACGAGCAGCCAAGAACTTCGACGACCTCGCGCACGGTGCTTCACGTGCCCCGAAGCAGATCTTCCCCATCAACCTTTCCCATCACATCACAATCCAAGTGCACCTGCATATGCACCGATGGAAAAAGTTTACAGCGACATCTTAAACATGCCTCGAGACGACACTGAAGCCGACTTCAACTATGTCATCACGTTCATCGATGCAGCAACAAGATATGTTTGGCACTACAACCTCAAGACGCAAGATAAGGCTTTCGAAGCCTTCACGACGTGGCTCCCCATCGCTGAACGAGAATCAGGAACTAAGCTCAAGAGCTTCCAGTCAGACGGCGCACTAGAATACCAGTCACAACGATTCAGGACCTACTTGGCGGAAAGAGGAATCAGACGCCTGGTGTCTCTACCCTACGCTCACCAGCAGCAGGGGGTCGCTGAAAGCATGAACCGAACGTTGCAGACGACGATGCGGAAGTTGCTCCTGGGTATGAGACTGCCCAACACAGTGCGGCCAGACGCGATGACCCATGCAGTCCACCTGCACAATTTGCTATCCTCGTCATCGCTCCCCAACAACGCATCACCGTACCTGCTGTGGACACGAAAAAGGGGCAGCACAAAATTACTTCGGGTTTTCGGTTGCATGGTAGAGTACAGACCCCACACAGCCAGAGCAGGACGCTTTACTCAACGAGCACGATGGGGACTACTCCTCGGCATCACAAAACACTTTCAAGCATGGAAAATCCTCGACATACAAGACAAAAATACCGTGGCATCACGTGATGTGATCTTCTACGAACGACTGATGCTGCAGCATTACCTAGACAACATCGCCAACACAGACGACCCCACTGACGGTATCGCAGGCCTTCGCTCCTTCGCTGACCGTGCTGCCAAGGCTGACGCAGCAGAAGAAGACGTACCTAGAGCTTCGGAAGCTGCCGGACCTCTCCCTTACTGCTCAGTGCCGGTTCCACTCGACGAAGACAATCCTCTCGATAGCAACAACATCGACACCCTTTACCACTTCGCTGACCAAGGTTACGTTACACCTCACCCGGTCGACACGAATGTCTCAGAACGCATCGGCCCAAACTTCTTACCTGATCCCGAAGATGGTGACGAAGCAGCCTATCCCGGGAATGAAAATTCCCCTCGACACACACCCACTGGACTGCAAATCCTCGGCTTATGGGTCTCCGTCCAGCATCCGCCGCCGCCATCTCCGCGCGAGCCTACGACCCTATCACAGGCTCTGGGGGGGGAACATAAGGCGAAATGGAAGGAGGCGATGGAAAAGGAACTAAAAGCTCTGCAAGACCGAAATACATAGAAGCTGGTACCTGCAACGAACATCAACGGGAAGAACGTCCTCTCGGGAAAATGGGTGTACCGCATCAAGACCAATGCGGACGGCTCCATCGAACGATTCAAGGCTCGCTGGGTCGTACGAGGATTCGATCAACGATACGGAACTAACTACACAGAAACATTCGCCCCAGTCTCCCGTCACACCTCCTTGCGCATCCTACTCGCCGTCGCGGCCACGAAGAAACTACCACTGCGCCAGATCGACGTCGCAAACGCTTTCCTATACGCACCTGTGGACGCCGAGATCTTCGTCGAGCAGCCCCACGGATTCATCGACGACCCCACAAAAGTATGCCAGCTGATAAAATCCCTTTACGGGATCAAGCAAGCCCCGAGACTTTGGCAGCAGCATCTTCACGGTCGCCTCGTCAAAATCGGATTCCTACAGCTGCCGCACGACCAAGGCATGTACCGACTACAAAAGGAAAAGGAATTTATCCTACTCATCTTCTACGTCGACGACCTGCTCTACATCGGCTCCACTACCGATATCGCCACCTGGTTCGAAGGGGAGCTAAAAAGGGACTTGACACTCACGGTGTCTGACACCGTAACCCAGTACCTGGGTCTGAACGTCATCGAAGACAACTCCGCGTTCTACCTATACGCTGGAAAATACGCAAGCGTTGTCGCGAAGAAGTTCGGACTAACACCGACTAGAGTCGCGACTCCCTACCGCTACGGGAACAAGGACGACACCTCCGCAAAACTCCCCGCGAAGCAAATCCAGGAGTATCAGCAGAAGCTCGGCTGCCTACTATTCGCAGCAGTAACCTGCCAACCGGACCTATCTTACAGCGCGAGCCAACTGGCGACGCATCTAAAACAACCGGAACAAGAAGATCTCGAGGAGTTAAATCGGGCACTACTCTACTTCGTCTCTACGCCGACGATCGGACTTACCTACAGTAAAGCAACAACATCGTCCGTGCAACTGCTCGGATACGTCGACGCCGATCACGCGGGAGACAGGGAAAATCGACGATCAAGGACGGGCTACATCTACCGACTAGAGCCTATCGGGACTATCTCCTGGCAGTCGAGCAAGCAGGAACTAATCGCATTGTCTTCAGCTGAAGCAGAATATATCGCCCTCTGCACTGCGACCAAGGAAGGACTTTACCTGCGAGAGTTATTCGAGGAAGCAAAGATTGCGACCCTGCCCGTCTTCTCACTCCTCTGCGACAACCAATCTGCGATCAAAATCGCGAACAAGGACGGCTTCGCCAACCGAACCAAGCACATCGCCCTGCGGTACTTCTTCGTCAAATATGAAATCGCGAAGGGGAGACTTCAACTCAGTTACTGCCCTACAACAGAAATGGCCGCAGACTACCTGACGAAGAAACTGGCGAAGGCAAAGTTCGACCACTGCATGCTGCTGACCGGGCAGACAAACCTCACCGGATCTGAACACGTCAACACTCCAGAAACGAAGGGGAGTATTGGAAATACCTCAAGAACTTAAGCGTTTCTGAAGCGTAACACTACACTCGAGGAAGATCGTAACGGGTACGCGAGCCAACGGATGTTACAAGAGGGGATGGACAAAGAATACGAAAGGACTCGAAAGGGTCGCAACCGGAGGTTGCGACTGATCGTTACAACTGCAAGAATGGTAACCGAAGCGACAATCGAACCGCTGTGCGACTCGATAACCGCCCTTCAAAATGTATTCTACAACTGCTTGTCTTCTTATTTCTATATATTGCTGTATGCTTGTTTCCTTTAATCAATCACTTGTTCTCACATACTAGTACAAGGGTTCAATTACTCAACTTCCGCTGCACTACTCAAGTCTCATTTTACAACTGGGACTTAGTCTCTGGAAAAATCCCAAGGGCTTTTATCAGCCCAACACTTAGCACCACCCCTTCTCTAGCCTAGGGGGTGTGTCAACTTATACATATGTTGTATGTAGAAGTTATAGGCTAGCCTAGGTGTGTGCTTCTAGTGAGTACAACCCCAACAGGTATATGTTCTAGGTTTCTCACACTAGTCAATTATTCTAGCATTCTAACAAGCGAGTACTGCAAACAGTGCGCGTTCGCAGGCTCGGCCCTTGGTTCTCGCGCCAAACCAGCCCCCGTCGACCTTTTCGGCCCCAACCTGATCCTGAGTCGTCCCGAACCCATTTTGACCCCGTCACCCTCGGGACTATCGAGCCCTTGACTGGCCCAACCCTCGACATTCAACCGGGTCAACTCGCACTATATTAGCTTTAGGCCTCATTTCTATCGACACATTGTAATCACGTTCCCCTATAGTATTCTGTGCTGTACTATGAGTTATAATTCATAACACTCTTTGCGCATCATTACACCCTTCAACTCATGAAGTGTAACCTTTGTTTCGCAGCTCATGGGATCGCGGGAACATTTTTGTCGCACGAGATGAACCTCCAGCGCAGCGAATCACGAGCAGGTGATGCCGCGCTTGCCTCACACCATTCTCCCGCGCATTTCGAATCGCCAAACGGATGGCTGGGGATCGACCGCCGCGCCAAGTTGAGATTCCGTTGAGCCGAGCCTGTGGCCGCCAGGCTGCCCCCCCCACCCCATCGGCCCTGCATGGAATGGGCTCCCTCCACTCCACTCGCTGGGGTGGAGTTGCGAAGGGGAATGACAATTGAGGAGCCGGAAGGGAGGAGCCTCGCGTGCACGCACCACCACAGCAATGCCCTTGTGATCACAAAACAACGCCCTCTGGCGGCACAGAGCTTCTCGCACGTTCCAGAAGGATTTGTTACGGTAGAAGTGACTCGACGTCCTGTGGCGACTCTCTGAGTACTTGATACTCGCCATTTTAGCCGCCAGTTAGGAAACGCGCGTGATGCACCAGATCTGAAAGCTAAGGCTCCGGTAATTAGGATCGTAGACTAGTTAGTGGTCGCTGTCAGTGGGTCTGACGAACTTCTAACAGAACCCGAACTAACCGCCATGGGCATCCCCATGCCCGCGCGATCGGACGAGATGGAATCCGCGCCAGCGGATATCCCACCGACTCCACCTGCGCCTGTTTCCGCGCCGCCGCATGACGGCCCAACCGCCATGGGTGCGCTCGGCCTGCTTCGCCTCTTCTCCATCTGGCCGCCGCAGCAGAAGGCGGCTCCCGCGTGCCCGTCCGGAGTACCCCAGGCGGTGCCGGGCTGCCCGCCGACGCCGGAGGTTGCGGGGACGGACGCGGGGCGAGCCATGGAGCCCGGCGCGGCAGCAGGGAGTGGGGAGGAGATGGGCGATGGCAATGCGGGTGGCATGGCGGGCGCAGCGATGGCCATTGACGAAAGCGCCACCGCGCACGCAGCACCGCACCCAGAGGAAGAGCACCCCGCGCAATCGCCGTCCCGCTGCTTAGATCCGTCCGCGTGCCCCCCGCTGGAGCGCCCCTTCTCCCCCACGTGCGTGCTCGACCCGCCCGACTGGGCGTCCGTCGCCGGCCTCGACAGTCTGCAGCTGCCGGCGCTGCAGCGACTGGCGTCGCACGGCGTCGTCTGGAAGCACCCTGCGACGGCCGCCCTGCGACGCTTCACGCTGCACTACGGCGGCGAGGTGGACGCGGACGGCAACTGCCTCTTCGCCGCGCTCAACCGCCTCGTGCCGCATCCCCACGGCGCGGCGGAGCTGCGGCGGAGAACGGTGCGGCGGTTTATGAAGGAGTACGAGGCGGGCGTGGTGGAGCGCGCGCGCGTGGACGCGGCGGTGCGGCACCTGTACGCGCCGGACGTGGCCGTGGGGTGGGGCGTGCACGTGGTGCAGGAGGTCAAGCTGCTCGCGCCGCGCTCGCAGCGCCAAGAGCTCGTGGCGGCCGTGGCGCAACTCGTCGACTGCGGCATGTCCAGGTGCGCCCGCCGCTCATGGCTGCATGGCGGATTGGGTACCGCTGCACGGTCGAAGATCCGCTGAATTCCCTCTTGCTCCATCCCTCGTGCCGCCGCCGCTCATCGCTAGATCGCTAAGTGCTTGCTGCCACTTGCGTCATCGTCATGTCGCTAGGTTGTTTGGCGGGTAGGTAGGTCGGCAGGTAGCACGCACGGCCATACGGCAGCTGTGGCTGCGACCCACCCGCGCCCATTTCCTCTCCCTCTCCTTTCCCTCCTCTCCCCGCCATCAACTCGTGTCCGCCCCTCGCCTCTCCCCCCCCTCGCAGGGACCACGCCATGGAGCTCGTCGCGCAGGACCGCTGCCTCCCCGTCGACTGCGCGCGCCGCTGGGCGCACTACATGTCAGTGGGCGCGCCCCTGGTGCCCACCGGCGCAGCGGAGACAGCGGGGGAGGGCGCGGGGATGGCGGAGTGGGTGGCGGAGGCCGAGGAGGCGGGCGGGCACGACGTGGTGTCGCTGCAGTACGCGCAAGATGGGCTGCTCTCCGCCTCCGCCTCCTGGGACTTTCCGCCGCCCGCCGTCTGCGCGGAGCGGGATACGAGCGCGGGGGAAGCGGGGGGGGGCGCGGGAGGCGGCACGGCGGCGTTCGGCGACGACATGGCGATCGAGATGCTGGCGACGGAGATGGCGCGTGAGATCATCGTTGTACGTGCACTGCCGCACGCCCCGCCATGGCCATGCTGCTACTCCAACTCACCTCTGCTCGCCGCGCCTGCCGTCCGCCATTGCCAGTTGCCCCGTTGTGAGCAAGGCCCTCTGTCCCCCCATGTGTGCGCGCGCGCGCAGGTGCAGGCGCACGGGCACGACGCCATGGTGGACGAGCACTCCGCGCTCTTCTTCCTCCCGCATGCCCCCAGGGGCGCGCCGAGCTCCGTGGCGCACCCGCCACTCTTCCTGCTCATGAAGGGCACAGGTGGGCGGGGAGGGGCGCGAATGGGGAGGACTGGATGCGAGGGGTTGAGAGGAGAGGGGGTTTGAGGGGATGGATTGAGATGAGACGAGTTGAGGAGGGGGATGGATGGTGCGGGCAGCGCAGTGCATGTCATGGCAGATGCTCTTGGCAAAGAATGTGTGGGATGGCAGCACTGTATGGCCGTGGCGCTGGGATGAGCAGGGCGCGCTGCACCATGAGCAACCTCCCTGCTGCCTTGCGCATGCACACCACAGCCGCGCCACCACGCCCACCCTCACTTGCCTGCTCTCCCTCGCTGCCCTTATCCCTCCCGAACTCTCCCCCCCCCCCTGCAGCGTGGTGTGGCGCGGGTGGCGATCACTACGAGGCCATGGTGGCGGTTGACAGGGGGGAGGTGCCCAAGGGGGACGCCCAGAGGACGTGCGGTGCTGTCATGCTGTGATTGGCCAAGAAGGGGAGGGGGGGGGGGGGGGGGAAGAAGGGAAGAATGCAAGGCGCAGTAGTGGGTGTGGTAAAGAGATGAGAGTAGAGACACTACTGGTTGCTGACAGGTTCTCCCATGGAAGAACGGCGCTCACATGCCCACAGCAGCCTCCATGCAATGCTACCGGTGTGAGGATACTACGGTACCACTGGAGTAGGGACAGCGCAATGCTTCAGCGCTCACACCAAGGGTGCTCGACCCTTGCTTTTTGTAGGAACGTGGTTTGATGCGCTGCCACAGCCTAAGGCTGTAGGTGACTGTTGCGGTCTCACAGACTTGTAGCCTTGTAGTACACACAAAGAATAAATATCAGATTGTTTACAAGCATAAGTTCACAGCAAGATGCAAGAATAGCAAGGCCATACCCGCCCATCCAGGCCAGGAAGGATGGGGTCATGGCAGGCGGCCAACTGATGCCAACGCAACTCGACACCCACCGGCCGCACATCCCAGCCCAGCAAGTCAACCCCCCCCCAACTCCCACCATCCCCCCCCACTCCCCCCACTCCCCCCACTCCCCCCTTAGTACCAGCCGCCGCCGCCCTCCAGTGACAGCCAGCCATGCCCCAGCGAGTCCAGGAAGCTGAAGCGCGGCCACTGCGGGCGCCCTATGCGGTGTGAGAAGAAGAACCACCCGGCGCGCGCACGAGCGTATGCCGCAAGCTGCGCGGAGGCCAGCCCCGCCATGCCGGCGTCATCCACGCTGTCGTACCCCGCCACGGCCAGCGACCACTCGCCCACCATGGCCACGCGCTCGCTGCCGGCGGGCTGCAACTCTGCGAGCTCCTTCACGCGCGTGGTCAGCACGAAGCTCAGCACCGCCGACAGGTTGCCCGCCACACCACCCGCCGAGTCCGCCGTCGCCGCCGTGTTGGCAGCGGGGTTGGTGGCGGCGGGATCAGTGGCGGCGGCGGCGGGCGTGGCGGTGGACTTGGGGGCGTCGTGGAAGATGTTGTAGAAGTGCTCGTCGTGGATCACGTTCGTGAACACCTCCTCGTTTGATAGATAGTCCAGAACCTCCGTCGCCTCCGCGCCCACGCGCGCACTGATCGCCACGTACGCGCACTGCGAGTGCGCGCGCACGGCGGCGTACGCGCGCTCGTAGTAGTTGCCGAGGGTCTTCGGGGAGATGGCCTCGGCCAAGGGCTCGTTCAGCACCGCCATGCCCGCGAACGCCTCGTTGCCCGCGTAGCGCGCCGCCAGCCAGTCCACGGCCTCCACGGTGCGGTCGATGTTGACCTGCGATGACCCCCAGTCCGGAATGCCGTCGCGGCTCGCTGAATGCTCGTAGCCGTTCTGCGAGCCTGGCGCTGCGTGCAGGGAGAGTAGCACGCGCATGCCGTACCTGACCGGGGGGAAGGGGGGAGGAGGGGGGGAGAAGGGTTGTAGCGTGAGTGGATGATGTGTGAGAGAGAGATGATGGGAGAGGGAGGAGAGGTGGGGGGGTGGAGGAAAGATGAGAGGAGTGGAGAAGCAGTGGATGACATGGAGCACGTGCCTCCTCTCACATGCATAGCCAGTCCTCCCCACACCCACATGCATGCACACACCACCTCCCTCCTTCAACCATGTCAACCCCACTCCGCGAACAACTGGCATGGCCAACCCTCCCCCCTCCGCCCCCACTGCGCACTCACTTGCCGGCCATGTCGAAGGCCCAGTCCAGGTACTTGAGTCCTCCCTTGCTGAACGGGTACAACGGCCCCCCCGCGCCCACGTCGCCCTCCGCCTTGCCCTCCTCCGCCAGCCAGTACCCCACGGGCACGCGCACCGCGTTTACGCCCGCCGCCTGCAGCGCCGCAAAGTGCTCCTCACTCACCCACGTGCTGCGGTGCTGCTCCAGCCGCTTCTCCACCTCGGCCGGGCCCCACTGCCGCCCCAACTGCCACTCGCCGCGCACAGCCGTGTTCTGCACGAGCAGGAATGCGACGCCCGTGGTCCACGCCCAGCTGCCCACGGCTGTGTTCACCTGCTCCGCCGGCACGGACGCCGTCACGCTGCCGTCGTCGTTGACGGTGAGGAAGCGCCCGTTGGGTGCCTGGATCATCACCCACCGCACCTCTGCGCCGTGGAACACAAACCGGAACGTCTCCAGCCCCTCGCCGCCCACACTCGCCACGTCGCTGCGCACATCCGCCACCGCCGAGCCCCCCCCCGCCGTTGCTGCTGGGCCACCACTGCCGCCGCCACCACCGGCAGCAGCGGAGGCGTTGGGCGGCGGTGTGGCAGCGGCGGCGGAGGCGTTGTGCAGCGACCAGAAGGAGAAGTCGAGCGAGCGCACCTCGTGCAGGTGCGGGTCGCCCAGCGTGAGCGTGCGCATGTGGAACGACGCCCAGTCGCCGGGGCGCGCGTCGCGCGCCACAAGGCGGAAGGCGTTGGTGGGGTCGACGTGCAGGAAGTTGCCGGTGTAGAGCGACTGCAGCGAGAACTGCAGCCCGTCTGTGTAAGTGGGCACGCGGCGAAACAGGTCCGGGCGCAGCCACCCCTCCAGCACCAGCCAGCCGGGGAAGCCCACCCCACGGAAGGCGGGCAGCTGCATGACCTCGCGCACGGCGAAGGGCTGCGCCACGTCACGGTTGTGCGAGCGCATGAGCGCGCCCGACTCCTCCACCACCATGAACGACCCGTCCGAGCACTGCAGGCGCACCTTCTGCGGTATGCCCTCCTCCTGCTCACACGAGCAATGGGGAATGCGGGCAGGATAAGGCGGGCGACATGGGGCGAGTATGGCGAGATGGGAGCATGTGGCGCAAGGAGCAGTGGTGCACGGGAAATGGCAACAAGAGCCAGCAGCACACAAGCACTCTCAACGTCCCCCACTCTCTAAACCTAACCACCAGCCCCGCTTGCCCTTTCAAGAACCGCATGGCATTCCCCCTCTCCTCTCCCCCCTTCCCCCAGTGCGAGCACGCACGACTTCAGCGGTGAGCAGCGTGGCAGGCCCGGGAGCAACGTCCAGCCCGGTGACCATGAGCTCGCGCCCGCACGTCAGGTACGTGCCCTGCGGCGTGCGCAGGCGCAGCGCGCCGCCCCCCTGCCCCTGGGCGTCCTGGCGCTCCACGGTGTAGAACTCCGTGGGCGGCGCCGCCTCGTGGTATGCCCCCGGCTCCGCCCACCGTCCCGCTGGCAGGCGTGGCCCCACCCACAGCCCGTTGGACGCCTGCAGCTGCACCTGCGCGCCGTGCTGCGGACGCGCAGAGGGGGGGCGGGACGGAGGGGCGCGGGGTGGTTGTTGAGGGTGCGAGTGGAAGTGGTGGGGAGAGGGGGGGGAAGGGTGGGGATATTGACGGAGTGGTCGGGCAGAGGGCTGCGGGGTAGGGGCTGCGGGAGAGGAGGAGCAACGGGGTGGCATCATGCACGCAGGTGCGAATGGCACACACACACACTCCATCTCCAACCCCCCCCCTTTCACCACCACCTCATGCTCCCTCCCCGCACTTACTGATCTAGTGCACTGTAACCTTTCTATTTTCTGTGCAAGGACGAAATAGAGGAAGAAACATTTGCCTCTCTCGATTTGAGGCGGTGGTTGGGGGGATGAGATGGGGATGGCGGGGGGTTGGGGCGGGCGGGCGTACATGGAGGGCGGCGGACCACCACACGGAGGGCATGCTGGCGGTGCTGGCCGCCAGAGCTGGTGCGCGCGAGCTGCAGCACGGCCCCTCGCATCCGCCCGTATCCCCGCCCCCCCCTGCCCCCCCTGGCCCTGCACCGCCTCCATCCCCCGCGCCATCTGTACCCCCCGCGCCCTCCCCCTGCGCGCTGCTCTGGTCCGCCCACTGCGCCTGTGCAGGGGGAGCGGGGGACGCCTGCGACACCGAGGGGTCCATGGGGGGAGGGGCGGCTCTGACGGGGGCGCATGGGGGAAGGGGAGGGGGGGATGGGGGCGAAAGCACGGGGTGGGTGGGTGCGTGGCGCAGTGGCAGAAGGCTGAATGCAGCAAGCGGCAATGCGAAAGTAAGGCGGTGGGTTGCACAAAGTAACTACACGAATGGCTCATGCCATGTCTTTCGCGCTCACGCGCTGCATTCTCAACTGCTGTCGCATGCCATGTGGCCGTCACTCGCCCGCAGCCCGCGTCTCACTTGTTCATGGCGCCGGAGAGCCAGAGCACGAGCAGCAGCGAGCTGGATACCAGCAGCCCCACCAGCGCGCACGCCAGCACCACGCGCTCGCACGTCCAGAAGTGCTTTTCGCGCAGCGAGTAGTCACGCAACGTGCCGCTGTGCGACGGGCTGGGCTCGCCCACGGTGCCGGCGATGGGCATCGTCTCCTCCTCGCCCACCATCGACGCCGACATGCCCCCCCCGCCGCCCCCGCCGAACAGCAGCCCGTTCAGCCGCGAGCTCGCGGGGCCCGTCAGCGAGTTGCCGAACGCCGACGCCTCGCCGCCCGCGCTGCCCGCGCTGCTGCCCGCGTCGCTCTCCACGCCCGAGATGCCCACGGCGCCGTGCCCCGGGCGGCCGAACCACACGGTCTTGCGGTCGCGCTCCTGGAAGCTGCCCGCGGAGCTGCTGCTGCCCGCGCGCCGCTTGGGCGGAATGCCGATGAGCAGCTCCGCCGCCGCCTCGTCGCCGCCCCCGGAGAACCGCGATGACCCACCAACGAACGCGCCCGGGGACGCGGAGGACGCGGGCGCCATGAGCGGCGACTGCTGCTGCAGCTCGTCCGTGTACGACCGCGACACGCCCCCCGATGTGCGCCGCGGCGTGGAGCGAGCGGACCCGCCCGACGGCATGCTGGTGCGAACTCGGCGCGCTGTGCCGTGAGACTCGGGGACACGGCTACGATGAGTGTGGGAGTTACCTAAAAAGAGAACGTGTTGGAAATGGCATGAAAGCTGTCGAATCGAGGTGTTGTGTTGCGGAGGGAGTGGCGAGCGTCTTAGATGCAGGCACGGACTCCACTACGGACGCGCCTCACGTCGTTCTGCAAGACTCGGGTTGTTGGGGCCGCAAATACGGAACGACAACTGTACGCGTTCTTGAGCTTGTTCTCCAGCAAAATCCGTTACCGGTAATTGCAGAAGAAACACATTAAGAAATGTGACCCATTTTGCCTCCTCACCATTCTAGACTTAAAGAGATGGCTTGGTTCTCTCATTTGGATAGAGCTTTTATTGCCTTCTTGGATGGCATGGGGGCATGGTTGCCTTCCTCCTCATCTTCCTACAACTAGTTGCCCTAAAAAATAGCCAAAATGATTTGGATCATTCACGATGCCCATTTCCTGGTTCAAGTTGGGCCCAACTTGAATTGGGGGTTTGCTATTTGGCCGTTGGCTTGGAATACGAAAAGGCAAAGGTACATAAAGGCGTCACAGCACAGAACTCCGTTGGGAGCAAACAAGCACATGCATGTGCATGGTTACACAGGAATCCACTTGAGAGATGCACTCTCCAGTTGCACATGCATGCTCACACGGCACACACCTACCCCCATCCCCTCACTCACAACGCACCCACGTACAGCACAGCACGCCGTACATGGACGCCCAAGGCTGCACAAACGCACTCGAGGATTTAGCCCAGAGCATCCAAGGGATCATGCGACAGGCAACAGGCCCGCGAAGATGCTCAGGCAGCCATAGGTGTGAGTTGGAACAGCGGCGCCTGGCCCTGACACAGCGCGTCTGGCTTCAGCGAGGCCATCCCAGCGCCTGCACCGCTCCCCCACACGCCTGCCCCGTCCCGCCGCAGCTCGCCATGCTCTCTCCCCCCGCCCTGCTCGCACGCGGGCAGCTGCCACTCGCCCGTGCCAGCGAAGCGCAGCCCGTACACAACACTGGGGGCAGCGCTGTCGTGCATGTCAGGTGCGGGAACGATGATGTCGATGGACTCGATGGGGCGGCGGTCCAACTCCATGTCCAGACACAGGCTCTCCACCCCTGCCACACACACGCCAGGGGGGGTTGGGGGGGGCATGCTTATTGGTGGCTACAAAAGTGGGAGGGAAACCTGCAGGTACGCTTGGGCAACAGTTGAAGCCCCTCAAATGAGAAAAAAGCAGGATGGGGTGATGCTGGGTGGGTAGACGGAAACCCCAAGGCGACTTTCTGGTCAGTCCTGCCTGATAATCTCATGCGGCAGCGTTTCAAGATATGTACCCTGCCAGTTGAGGCATGCGCACGGTGGCTCCGCGGCTGTGATGCCGTCGTTTGGCGAGCCGTGGCTTTCCAGCGCGCGATCCCCGTCGTCTGAGGCTGCCTGTGATCCGGAGCTCGTGAGAGAAGACGAGCTGCGCCCGTCCCCTTGCGGCGCAGCGCTGGTAGCTGCAGGCACAGCGGGGGGCGCGAGTCGGTCCCACACACGTGGCTTCCCATCTGCAGCGCCATCAGCTGCTGGGAACGCCGCGCCAGCAGGCATCCCCGCGGCAGGGGCGAGGGGCGGGTGTGCAGTTTGAGCAGGCGACGGGTGGGTGAGCTGCTGCAGCGACTGCAGCTTCTGAAGCAGCGATGGCGGCAGGTCGCGACCCGCTGCCACGGGGGGAACAGGGAAGGGGAGGACACCAGCGGAGGGGGAAAATGGATTCTGAGAATAAAGTGTATGAGGGGGGCACGCAGGGAAGGATGAATGTGGAGGGGGGGGGAATGGATGTGGGGTATGCGAGAGCGCGAGGAGCAGCGCGTGGGGCGTGGCGGATGCACGAGTTACGAGACGCGAGCACGGCGTCAGGGTTACTCCCATCAAGCACCTCGCCAAACACACGCGCCCACCGTCCCTCATCCACTCACCCGAGGGTAGCCGCAGCGCGGACGGCCCTCGTTGCGCTGCCATTCCCACTCGCCCGTACGCTATGGGCCCCGATCGCGCAATTGGCGCCGACAGGAAATCCGCGTCGCACGCAGCGCCATCGCCCTCCACTGAGCCGTCGTCGTTCGACTTGTAGCTGGGCGACTCTCCGCCTGTCGCACGGGCGAACCCTCTGCCAGTTCCGCTGCTGCTGCTGGGTCGGCGCAAGCCGGCGACGTTGCGCGGCAGCACCGCGGATGGCGGGACTCGCGCGGATGGGTGCAGGCGCTGGAACGGCTGCGGCTGCTGCCGCAAGTGCGGCATCTGCGACGGCAGCTGCTGCTGCAGCGGCGGCTTGGGCGCCTGCTCTCTGCCCATCGAAGCGCCCGACGCAAGGCCGGCCTGCACCTCGCCTCGCTCCAGGGATCTCTGCCCGCCGCTCGACGACCCTCTGCGCCCGGCAGCGCCGTAGCTGCCGTTGCTGTTGCTGAATGATGGGAAGAGGGGGACGTTTCCCGCGTTGGCTGCGCCATCCGCCGCGTTCCACGTCATCTCCGCCTTGTTTCCGATGCTGCTGCTGCGGTTCAGCGCGCGCGCCTCCGCAGCGTTGACGCCGGCGCGCGTCGCGCCGTACTCCGGCGACGACAGCTGCGCGTTCGCGCCTACCCCGGGGAACGCTCCCCTCTCCGCGCCGAAGGTGGCGCCAGTTTCGGCCTGGGCCCGCAGCGCGGCGGAGGTTGCGAGGCGGTTGGGCGGGGGGAAGGGCATGGAGTGAGTGAACAGCGCGGGGAGCTCGCCGGCTCCCCACGCCGCCGCGCCCACCGGCCACAGGGTCTCTTCCGCCGCCGATTGCGCACTGCGGTCTCCGCCCGAGCCTGGGCGAGCGACGCCGATCCTATTTATTCCGCGCACCCTTGCGCGTCTCTCCGCACTGGCGGCGCCGTCAGTCTTCGCGCGGAGCAGCTCTCCGCCGAGCCACTCGTCGCCCTCCGCCGACTCCTCCAGCATGGCCAGGCGGGACAGCTCGTCGCGCAGCGAATCGCCCGCAGTCCTCTCCGCCTGTGCCGCCGTGCTCGGGCGTCTTCCCGGTAGCCCGGTCCCCGCGACCTCGCCGGTATCAGCGCCCGCTAGGCGCAGTGAGCCAGCGTTAGTACACGCGTCTCTGAACGGAATCGACGCGTCCATGCTCGCTCGGCGATACTGCGCGGAAAGCGGCGCTGGCGGCGACGCGTTGAAATCAAGCTGCAATCTGATGCTGCCGTCGCTGCTGCTGACGCTGCTGCTGCTGCTGCCGCCGCTGGGTCTCGGCGGCACGGCAGACGAAGTGGGTGCTGCTGATGGCCTGCCCGCGCCTTCCGCGGCGTTGTTGGCTCCGGCCGTCGTGTTTGCGCTTCGGCTGCGCGAAAACGGAGCACCTGAGAAGAAGAGGCGAGTTCCGCTAGACCGCCCGCGCGCCGTGCTGGGCGAGGGAGGCGACATGATATCGAGGGCACCTTAGGGGCAATGGAACTATGAGCGACGTGGTTTCTGATATGGACGAATGCCCCGCTGGCTCGGTGAGAATTTCGGAAATGCGCGATGTAACTGGTGGCGTTGGTGGCTTCCTCTGAAAAGCAAGCCGAAATACAGAAAAAGAAGCAAGCCGATTCTTACCCGCGCAATGCAAACACACAAACTCAGAGAGGGATGCAATGTGTGCGGCTTGGAGATAGCGAGGATGGAAAAGAACAAGGCGATGGCTGTGGGTGGTTGACTGGTGGTGCTTCGTGAGAGCCGCAGTCAAATTGGAAACAAGACCGCGTTTCTTGATGGGAGGGGGTGGTGGGGTTGAGCCATCGACAGTCTTCAGATCAGAAACACGGATTCCGTGAATGCGACGTGAGCGATAGGACCGCGAAACACGCTGGGAAACTCAGGGGACTAGCCAAGCCACGCAACAACACCAAGCTGGAGGGTAAGCACGCTGACAAACGGGGGTCTGGACCGGAGTGGGCATTTCCAGCTGTGGCTGTTGCAAAGGTCCACGGGCGTCGAATTGGTTGGGCATCAGGGGACTGTCACGTATTGAATGCCAATGGATGTGGCTCTCTGTCGGCATTGAAGCAGTGGATAACCTACATGTGATAGGGAAAAGAAAAAGCCGGGACCGATTGTTCTCAGGGAGGTTCCGCCGCTTGTGTCAGACTCGAGGTCAGCCAGCTCGGGTCATAGATCCCTAGGAAGGCCTGACACGGACCATCCGATTCGCCCCATGGTTGCAGAAATTCCCTCTGGCCATTGCCTGAACTCGAGTCTGACACGAGCTGCAGAATTTACTTTTCAACTGATTAATTCTATTCTCCCAGGCTGGGGATTGCCCAGGTCTAGGATTCTTGATATATTTTACTGTACAACTAGGAAACGATCCAAGAACTTGCTACACTCGCTGCCCACAACCAATTCCCTCCCCACACCTCCGGTGCCAATCAGTGATTTCCATGGTCCGCAGGCAGAATGGTCTACATCCACAAGAATGGAGAGAATTCTGTGCTCAATCTCGAACCAGGGGGCCAGTTGGGCATGTCACTTTGCAACGACTCTCACGTGCTGTGATGTGAACTACAGCGCGCAATACCCGCAAGAGACAAAATTTGAATAACGATGTTCGTTGATAAGCGACTCCTCAAAGCGATTCAGTCACAGCTGTGATTCAACCATCCAGTTACGGGTGTAGGTGTGTAATAGAGCCTCAAATATCACTATTACAATTACAACGCCCAAGTTGGAATACTCTAAACACTCTATTCGTTATAATACTAGAAAATGCAGGACCTAGGGCCTAATGCACAAGTGCTGCACCCCCACAAGTGCCGCACCCGAACTAGTGCCATAGCCTCGGGGCAGCTGTGTTTGGCATGGTTTCGAAATGTGTGGAAGAGCGCTTGGGAAAGGATTGATAACTTGGAGCTACCACAATCCCCTATCATGATAGGGTTTAGCTAGGTAGGTGATGTCAAAGATATATTTGTATATTTTTATAGACTGCATAGGGTTGTGCCTTAGAGAGTACAACCCACTAGGTTATATTCCTTTGTATGCTGTTGGGCTGAGAAAAGCCCTTAGGATCTTTCCAAAGACTAAGTCCCAGTTGAAGAATGAGACTTGAGTAGTGCAGCGGAAGTCAAGTAGCTGAACCCTTGTACTAGTATATGAGAACAAGTGATTGATTAAAGAAACAAGCATACAGCAATATATAGAAAATAGGAAAGTAAAGCAGTTGTAGAATACAGTTGCAGGTGCGGTTATCGAGTCGCACAGCGACTCGATTGTCGCTTCGGTTACCATTCGTGCAGTTGTAACGGTCAGTCGCAACCTCCAATTGCGACCCTTCAAGTCCCTTTGCGTTCTTTGTCCACCCCCTCGTGTAACCTCCGTTGACTCGCATACCCGTTGCGATCTTTCTCGAGTGTAGTGTTACACTTCAGAAACGCTGAAGTCCTTTGAGGTATTTCCAACACTCCCCTTCGTTTCTAGAGTGCTGACGTGTTCAGATCCAGTGACGTTTGTCTGCCCGGTCAGCAGCGTGCAGTAATCGAATTTTGCCTTTGCCAATTTCTTCGTCAGATAGTCTGCGGCCATTTCTGTCGTAGGGCAGTAACTGAGTTGAAGTCTCCCCTTCGCGATTTCATCCTTGACGAAGAAGTACCGCAGGGCGATGTGCTTGGTTCGGTTGGCGAAACCGTCCTTGTTCGCGATTTTGATCGCAGATTGGTTGTCGCAGAGGAGTGAGAAGACGCGCAGGGTCGCAATATTCGCTTCCTCGAGCAACTCTCGTAGGTAGAGTCCTTCCTTTGTCGCAGTACAGAGGGCGATATATTCTGCTTCAGCCGAAGATAGTGCGATTAGTTCCTGCTTGCTCGACTACCAGGAGATAGTCCCGATAGGTTCTAGTCGGTAGATGTAGCTCGTTCTCGATCGTCGATTTCCCTTGTTTCCCGCGTGGTCGGCGTCAACGTATCCGAGTAGTTGTACGGACAATGCCGTTACTTTACTGTAGGTAAGCCCGGTCGTCGGCGTGGAGACGAAGTAGAGTAGTGCCCGATTAAGTTCCTCGAGATCTTCTTGTTCCGGCTGCTTCAGATGCGTCGCCAGTTGGCTCGCGCTATAAGATAGATCGGGTCGGCAGGTTACTGCTGCGAATAGTAGGCAGCCGAGCTTCTGCTGATACTCCTGGATTTGCTTCGCGGGGAGTTTTGCGGAGGTGCTGCTGTTGTTCCCGTAGCGGTAGGGAGTCGGGACCGTAGTCGGCGTTAGACCGAATTTCTTCGCGACAGTGCCTGCGTATTTTCCAGCGTGTAGGTAGAACGCCGAGTTGTCTTCGACGACATTCAGTCCCAGGTACTGGGTCACTGTGTCGGACACTGTGAGTGTCAAGTCCCCTTTCAGCTCCCCTTCGAACCAGGTGGCGATGTCGGTAGTGGAACCGATGTAGAGCAGATCGTCGACGTAAACGATGAGTAGGATATACTCTCTTCCCTTCTGTAGTCGGTACATGCCTTGGTCATGCAGCAGCTGTAGGAATCCGATTCTTACGAGGCGACCGTGAAGATGCTGCTGCCAGAGCCGCGGGGCTTGCTTGATCCCGTAAAGGGATTTTATCAGCTGGCATACTTTTGTGGGGTCGTCGATGAATCCGTGGGGTTGCTCGACAAAGATCTCAGCGTCCCCAGGTGCGTACAGGAAAGCATTTGCGACGTCGATCTGGCGCAGTGCTAGTTTCTTCGTGGCCGCGACTGCGAGTAGGATGCGCAAGGAGGTGTGACGGGAGACTGGGGCGAATGTTTCTGTGTAGTCGGTTCCGTATCGTTGATCGAACCCTCGTACGACCCATCGAGCCTTGAATTGTTCGATGGAACCGTCCGCATTGGTCTTGATGCGGTACACCCACTTTCCCGAGAGGACTTTCTCCCCGTTGATGCTTGTTGCAGGTACCAGCTTCCATGTATTTTGGTCTTGCAGAGCCTTTAGTTCCTTTTCCATCGCTTCCTTCCATTTCGCCTTATGTTCACCCCCAAGAGCCTGTGACAGAGTCGTGGGCTCGCGCGGAGATGGCGGCGGTGGATGCTGGACGGAGACCCATAAGCCAAGAATTTGCAGTCCCGTGGGTGTGTGTCAAGGGGAATTTTCATTCCCGGAATAGGCTGCTTCGTCACCATCTTCTGGATCAGGTAAGAAGTTTGGGCCGATGCGTTATGAGATGTTCGTGTCGACCGCGTGAGGTGTAACATAACCTTGGTCAGCGAAGTGGTAAAGGGTGTCGAGGTTGTTGCTATCGAGAGGATTGTCGTCGTCAAGTGGGACTGGCACGGAGCAGTAAGGGAGTGGTCCGGCAGCTTCCGAAGCTCCAGGTACGTCTTCTTCTGCTGCGTCAGCTTCGGCAGCACGGTCAGCGAAGGAGCGAAGGCCTGCGACACCGTCGGTGGGGTCTTCTGTATTGGCGACGTTGTCCAGGTAATGTTGCAGCGTAAGTCGTTCGTAGAAGATCACATCACGTGATGCCACGGTATTTTTGTCTTGTATGTCGAGGATTTTCCATGCTTGAAAATGTTGTGCGATGCCGAGGTGTAGCCCCCATCGTGCTCGTTGAGTGAAGCGTCCTGCTCTGGCTGTGTGGGGTCTGTACTGTACCATGCAACCGAAAACCCGAAGTAATTTTGTGCTGCCCCTTTTTCGTGTCCACAGCAGGTGCGGTGATGCGTTGTTGGGGAGCGATGACGAGGATAGCAAATTGTGCAGGTGGACTGCATGGGTCATCGCGTTTGGCCACAGTGCGTTGGGCAGTTTCATCCCCAGGAGCAGCTTCCGCATCGTTGTCTGCAAGGTCCGGTTCATTCTTTCTGCGACCCCCTGTTGCTGGTGAGCGTAGGGTAGAGACACCAGGCGTCTGATTCCTCTCTCCGGCAAGTAGGTCCTGAATCGTTGTGACTGGTATTCCATTGCGCCATCGGATTGGAAACTCTTGAGCTTAGTTCCTGATTCTCGTTCAGCGATTGGGAGCCACGTCGTGAAGGCTTCGAAGGCTTGATCTCGCGTCTTGAGGTTGTAGTGCCAAACATATCTTGTTGCTGCATCTATAAAAGTGATGACGTAGTTGAAGTCGGCTTCCGTGTCGTCTCGAGGCATGTTTAAGATGTCGCTGTAAACCTTTTCCATCGGTGCATATGCAGGCGCACTTGGATTGTGATGTGATGGGAAGGGTTGATGGGGAAGATCTGCTTCGGGGCACGTGAAGCACCGTGCGCGAGGTCTTCGAAGTTCTTGGCCACTTGTTGTAAGAAGAGCGTTTCGTTCTAATACTTCGGCTTGGATTGTTTGTAGTACGGTGCTGTTTGCAGGATGCCCAAGTCGTTGGTGCCAGATGTCGTCGGAAGCTCGATGGCCGGGCGAGCGTTGGTACATGTCGGTGTTGGAGAAGAACGCGACGACCGTGGCGGGACTTCGGCAGACTTCTCGTGTGATGGGCATAAGTTGATCTGCTTCGGTTGGCGGTCCTCGGATTGCTGGTGGTGGTACTCGGCTGGGTCCTGCTGCTGCTACTGCAGGTGATGGTTGGGAAGGGACACTTGCTTGTACTTGTCTTTCTTGTCTGATGACTGCTAATGCTCGTGTTCTCTCTACTGCAGGTATGGTGTTGGAGTACCAGAATCCATCGGGGTTGAAGTCAGGATCAAGATCCGGCGGGTGTGTCCAGGCGGCGAACGACACAATCCCATCGTTGTCGGCAGTACCGCGG